GATCTCAGGATGAGGACCAGCAGCCCAGCACTGGCCTTACATCACCAGGATGAGGACCAGCAGCCCAGCATTGGCTTCAGATCACACTGGGGATCTCAGGATGAGGACCAGCAGCCCAGCACTGGCCTTACATCACACTGGGGATGGATCTCAGGATGAGGACCAGCAGCCCAGCACTGGCCTCAGATCACACTGGGACTCACAGGATGAGGACCAGCAGCCCAGCACTGGCCTTACATCACACTGGGACTCACAGGATGAGGACCAGCAGCCCAGCACTGGCCTTACATCACACTGAGGATCTCAGGATGAGGACCAGCAGCCCAGCACTGGCCTTACATCACAGTGGGACCCTCAGGATGAGGACCAGCAGCCCAGCACTGGCCTCAGATCACAGTGGGACTCACAGGATGAGGACAGCAGCCCAGCACTGGCCTCAGATCACACTGGGACCCTCAGGATGAGGACCAGCAGCCCAGCACTGGCCTTACATCACACTGGGACTCAGAGGATGAGGATCAGCAGCCCAGAACTGGCCTTACATCACACTGGGACCCTCAGGATGAGGACCAGCAGCCCAGCACTGGCCTTACACAACACTGGGGATCTCAGGATGAGGACCAGCAGCCCAGCACTGGCCTTACATCACACCGTGACCCTCAGGATGAGGACCAGCAGCCCAGGACCGGCCCTATTGTTGTGGCTGCTCACCTCCTTGCCGGTCAGGACGTGCCGGGCCAGTTTGACCTTGGCGAAGTTGCCCTTGCCGATGGTTTTCAGCAGCCTGTAGTTGCCGATGTGGGGCTGCTCGTCGGCGGAGGTGGCCGAGTTGCGGCCCCGCAGCATGTTGGGCTTCCCAGCTCCCTTCCCTTCCGCGTGGCCCAGCGCCGGCTGCGGGGGGACACAGAGGGGACACTCAGTTTACAGCCCCCCCCCCCCAGGAGGAGGAGAAGGAAGGAGAAGGGGGTGGAGAGGAGAGGGGGGGGGGTTTGGAGGCAGGCAGGGCTGGGAGCAAAGTCCGGGTGTGCCACACCGCGCCCCGGGCGGACCGGGAGCCGCCCCCGATACCTGACGCAAGCGGGGTGGTTTCGGGCTCCCTAAGGACAGGGAGGAAGGGATTTGCCCCACGCTGTCAGCTGTGGGGTTGTGGGGAAATGGAGGGAGGGGTTCTGACCCGCAGGAGGGGGAAAACAGGGTGGGATTTGGGGTTAAACGGAGACCTGCGCTGCGCGCAGCTCCGGAGCGGTGATGCCAAAACTTTCATGGCTGGCTCCAAAGCAGGGGTGGCTCCAAACCCCCACATTCAGCCCCAAATCCCCACATCCAGCCCCAAAACGGGGATGACTCCAAACCCCCACATCCAGTCCCAAATCTCCACATCCAGCCCCAAAACAGGGATGTCTCCAGACCCCCACATCCAGCCCCAAATCTCCACATCCAGCCCCAAAATGGGGATGTCTCCAAAAACCCAAAACCAGCCCCAAAACTGGGATGTCTCCAAATCTCCACATCCAGCCCCAAAACTGGGATGTCTCCAAAAACCCAAAACCAGCCTGAAATCCCCACATCCAGCACCAAAACAGGGATGTCTCCAAACCCCCACATCCAGCCCCAAAATAGGGATGACTCCAAATCCCCACATCCAGACCCAAATCTCCACATCCAGCCCCAAAACAGGGATGTCTCCAAAAACCCAAAACCAGCCCCAAAACTGGGATGTCTCCAAAAATCCAAAGCCAGCCCCAAAACTGGGATGTCTCCAAATCCCCACATCCAGCCTGAAATCCCCACATTCAGCCCCAAAACAGGGATGTCTCCAGACCCAAATCTCCACATCCAGCCCCAAAATAGGGATGACTCCAAACCCCCAAATCCAGCCTGAAATCCCCACATTCAGCCCCAAAATGGGGATGTCTCCAAATCTCAACATCCAGCCCCAAAACGGCGATGTCACCAGACCCCAACATCCAGCCCCAAATCCCCACATCCAACACCAGAATGGGGATGTCTCCAAATGAACAGGGATGTCACCAAACTCCAAATCCCCACATCCAGCCCCAAATCCCCACATCCAGCCCCCAAATCCCCACATCCAGCCCCCAAATGGGGATATCTCCAAGTATACAGGGATGTCTCCAAACCCCCACATTCAGCCCCAAAACAGGAATGTCTCCAAAAACCCAAAGCCAGCCCCAAAACTCCATATCCAGGCCCAAAACCAGGATGTCTCCAAAAACCCACGTTCCATCCCAAAACAGAAATGTCTCCAAAAACCCAAAGCCAGCCCCAAATCCCCACATCCAGCCCCAAACCCCCAAATCCATCCCCAAAGCGCCCCATGTACCCAAATTCAGCCCCAAAGCCCTCAGCCCCAAACCCCGTGCTCCTCCCAGGCTCTATTTCCACATCCCACCCCCAAATCCCCACTTTCTGCCCCCAAATCCCCACTCCCTGCCCCCAAATCCCCACTCCCTGCCCCCCAAAACAGCCTCTCCACATCCCCACGCTCAGCCCCACAGCTCCCAAAGGAGCTGGCTGCTGCCCACCCCAAATCCCAGCACCCCATATCAACACCCCCTTCCCCCCCAGAGATGGAAAACCCCAAAACAGGGATGTCTCCAAAACTCCACATCCTGCCTCAAAACGGGGATGTCTCCAAAAACCCAGAACCAGCCCCAAAACTCCATATCCAGCCCCAAAACCAGGATGTCTCCAAATCCCCACGTTCCGTCCCAAAACAGAAATGTCTCCAAAAACCCAGAGCCACCCCCAAATCCCCACATCCAGCCCCAGAACAGGGATGTCTCCAAACCCCCACGTCCCATCCCAAAACAGGAATGTCTCCAAAAACCCAAAGCCAGCCCCAAACCCCCACATCCATCCCCAAAGCGCCCCATGTACCCAAATTCAGCCCCAAAGCCCTCAGCCCCAAACCCTGTGCTCCTCCCAGGCTCTATTTCCACATCCCACCCCCAAATCCCCACTTTCCGCCCCCAAATCCCCACATCCCGCCCCCAAATCCCCACTTTCTGGCCCCAAATCAGCCTCTCCACATCCCCACAGCTCCCAAACGACAGCGCTGTGGGGCTGAAGACCACCTGGGGGTCCCCGTGGTGGTCCTACAATACGCATCGATGGGCTGTAGGGCAGCCGCCCCCCCGACTGCATCACCCCAAAGCATCCAAGCCCGCACCCGCTTCGCTCATTAGCACTTCTGCTTAATTAGGAAGGGGAGCACAGCGAGAGGAAGCCGCGGGCGGAAGCCGGCAGCTCGTTTCACAAACGGTGATGGTGAAACCACAGCGTTGGGGATCCCACAAAAGACCCCCCCCCCAAAAAAAAAAACAACCACCCAACACCCCGACGTTTGGGGCAGAGCTGTTGGCTGCCGATGCTCCCCCCTCCCTTCCCCAAATCCGATGGGATTATTTGGGAAATCGAAAGGTTTGGGGTTTTTTTTTTGGGGGGGGGGGGTTTTGTTTTTCCCTGCCATAAAAGCTGCTGTGGCAACGGGGGGGGAAGCGGCGCTCAGCATATGGCCAAACTGTCAGGGAATTCATTTGGGTTCTGAGGCTGAATCCTAAAACGTGGGGACCCTCAGAATCCCAAACCCGCAGAGATTTGGGCTGAACGATGCCCCAAACTGCGAGATCCCATCCGTTCCTCTGCTTGAAAACCCCACGTGGAAGCAGAGAAAAGCCTGGGAATGGCAAAAAAAAAGGGTTTGTTTGGGGTTTTCTTTTTTTTTGCCCTCTGTGTACATGGGGCAAAGCATGCCTGAAATGCCTGCTGCGTCTCAAGCACCTCTTATCACCCTGCAGGCGACGCCGTGGCTCTCAGCTCCCCATTTTGGGGGGTCCTGGAGGGGGGATTTGGGGGTGTATTGGGGCCCTTGGAGGCACCCCATAGAATCGTGCCCTGCAGGCACAGCCCTGCTGCCTTCCCCACAGCGACGTGGCTCCTGCTGGATGAATGAGGCGTTGCTGCTGTTGTGGGGCATCCCCAGCCCCATAGGGACGGGTTTGGGATGGGACCAAAAGGGAAGGAAAACGTCCCCCCCCCAAAAAAAAAGAAATTCAATGCTGCCCATCCTAAAGCAGCCCCGTAACCCCATCCAAATCCACCCCCTGCTGGGCATCAGACCCCAAAAGTTAAGGGGTAGGCAGACACCAAAGGATCGAGGATGCCCACCTCCAAACAGCCCCAAATCCTCCAGCAGCTCTAAACCCCAAACCAGCGAGCTGACAGGAGGAAAACCCCAAAAGCTCAGAGCCCAGAAAACACCCCGAAACCCAGAACAGCCCCAAAACCATCACAAGACCC